CCCTTGTTGACCCTTTTGCTGGCTTTCCCCAACATCTGTTCTCTACTCTTACCTGTATCTATCTAATAAAATTCCCCTGAAATGGATTTTTTTCACTGTGTAATTGCTTCTGCTCACAGTCATATACAATTTGGCACAAGGATGGTGGGCTTAAATGTCAGCAGTACACATATATCAGTTTTTTTCCAAACGATTCCATTGTTATTGTGAATTTCAGAGGTTCAAGCATTTACTTTCCTTGCTACTTTTGTGATTAAAATATTTCATCAGAGCAGAACAGAAAACTACCTTCCTAATAATTCCTGAAACATAAACACATTATGAAGCATACATGTACACTCCTACTGTCAGCTTACATTGCTAGTGCAAGGCCAAAATTTACACAGCAATGGTAGGAATATAATGTTGAAAGAAATAGACTTGGAGAGAAATGATTTAGTTTTATCATGTAATCATTTTTCCAAGAAGTGCCCAATCTGATTTCTTAAAATATGGAACAATTTAGTGTAAAATGACTGTTTTGTACAATTTAGCCAAGCATACTTACAATTTTCACTGTTACAGCTCCAGTTGGAAATTTAATTAGTTAGAATTGTTTTCAGGGACATCTATCCCAGCCAAGTTAATGCCATATCCTTAGGATGCAAATAATTGAAGCTTTCTCCTAGCATGAAACTTGTAAATACAATCTAGTTCATGAGCACTCAGGATCTTATGGAACCAATGCTAATTGTCCATCTTAAAAGTCATGGATCACATAACTGAAAATGTGGAATAGAACTTGAAGATCCAATAGTCCAACATATGCAGATATGTCTCAAGAAATATCAAGCCTACAAAATGCTCAAATAAAATCTTCTGGAATTCTATGGTCACTAGTTTTTAAAAAGCTCTATCCAGGAAGAGATTTATAAGATGTGCATTAACAACACAATTTCTGAGAAGTACTATATGAAAGAAACCTATTGGGCATAATCAGAAATGTCTGTTGTTGGTCAAAGAACCCCTTTATTTGTTCAAAGTAATAGAGTTCAGAACAGTATAACTTGAAATTTCACTAAAAATGTTCAGTCATTGTCAGTTAACTAAAAGGAATTGAGTA